CTGTCCCTGCCCTCTGGCAGTGGGAACCATTCCCTGTGTCCTGTCCCTCCATCCCTTGTCCCAAGTCCCTCTCAGCTCTCCTGGAGCCTCTTCAGGCACTGGAAGGGGCTCTGAGGTCTCCCTGGAGTTTCTCTTCTCCAGGCTGGAGAATCCAGGAGGGTTGGAGCCCTGGGACATTAGCCCCTGTGATCCCTGACCCTGCTGCTTTGCCAGGGCAGCACAGCTCACAGCCACAGCCACCTCAGCACGTGCTGCTGCCTAACCCCAGGCTGTTCTCAGACTCTGGAGGTGAGGAGGAGTTCAGGCTGCGTCACCAGGCTCCTGTCCCTGCCGGTGACAGCTCCCGCAGGCTCTGCCAAAGGCTCCTGACAGCCTAAGCCAAACACTCCCTGCACTCAGATCATTTGCTCAGGACACACAGGTCAAGGCAGAGCAAACCCAGAGCACGTGCTGAGAGGTGACTGAGGGTCAGTGTCTGGCTGTGCTGGGCACAATCAGCAGCACTCAGTGCCCAGGGGAAACACAGCGACATGGCAACAGCAGAGGGGAAATAAACACCACTTAGGGGCAAAAAGAAAGGCATTGTTAGCATAGCAGTGTGTGAAGGGCTTGGAATGGAGCTTAGGGATGATCCAGCCCCTGCCCTGGGCAGGGACACCTCCCACCAGAGCAGGTTGCTCAAGGCTCAGCCAACCTGGCTGTGAACACTGCCAGGGTTGGGGCAGCCACAGCCTCCCTGGGCAACCTGGGACAGGGTCTCACCACCCTCACAGGGGAAAATTCTGCCTAATATCCAATCTAAACTTCCCTCTATTATTGCAGAGCTTCTATGAGTGATCATCAAACACAGAGCAGAAGACCAAAGAAATGAGCATCTGAACTGATTTCAATCCTCCTCCAGGTCCCTTCTCAGCCCAGGGACAGTGTGAAGAAGCCTGGGTGGTGCTGGCAGAGAGATGTTTGCCCCTAGACCCCCAAGAGCCTCCTTACCTGGTCACAGATGAGCTCCCACTTCTTCTCGTTGTCATACTGTCGCAGCAGTCGAGCCTTGTCGGGTGGCAGGTTCATGGCATTCTGTGGGGACAGAGAAAGCAAACATGAGGGACAGCAGGTGGAGAAGCCTGGAGCAGTTCGGGGTCAGCCTGGAGCAAACAAAGGCAATGTGGCTGTGGTTGCTTCAGCTGTTGGATGTGAAGCTGCAGAGGGACTTGGGATGAGGGATGGAGGGACAGCCACCTCCATCCAGCAGAGAGGACACAATTCCCCAATGTGACCACATGAAACCTTATCTGGCTAACACAGACCCTGGAGGTAACATTGCTGCTGCCCAACCCTGCAGAGATAATCATCTCAGGCTGGGAAGGACAAGAGTCAGAAGGAAGGGGAGAGGCAGCAATTAGATGATCCTTATGTTTGCTGGCTCTGGTGTCAGCTGAGATGTCCTTCCAGGGACAGCTCTCTGGGGCAGGGCAGCACAGGATGACCACTGGCTCCCAAAGCAGCTCTCCTAAGAACTGTGTCCCTGAATGTGCCACAAAACTGTCATGAGAAGCTCCTGGAGAAGCCAAGAGCACCTCAAGAGCTTCACAAGCACCATGGCTGGAGAGAAGCCCCATCAGAGCACAGCAAAGCAACTTGGCTGGGTGGGAAACCCACTGAGCTCTCCAGCATCTCCTGGTCTCCAGCACCTCTTGCTCTCCAGCTCCAATTCCCAGTCCAGCCCCAGTTATCCCCAGACCTGAGGTCCATCCCAGACTGCTGCTGGGGTGGCAGTGAAGTGACAGCAGGTCCCTGCAGCACCACACACAGCACCAAGCCTGTGGTGAAGCAGGAGTCAATCCATCACTGTTCTGGCACTGAAACCCAGTGTAGGAGCACAACCTTCCCAAGCTCTGCACCAGGTAGCATTACAGTTGGGTTACCAGCAGGATGTCCTGAGGATCCTCAGAACCATCCCAGATCCATCCTCTGCCACAGTTCTACACCCAGACCTCCTGTTTCCTCACACAAACCTCATCCCAGGCAGGGAAGAAGAGGGATAGGGACAGTCCAAGCTGCCACCAACACCAACAGGAGCATCTGTTAGTGTTCCAGCAGTTTGCAAGTACATCTGCTCATATCCCAGAGGCTAGGTATGACACAGGATCTACACTTCCCCAGGATTTTCCCATCTCATGCAGCTCAGACTGAGACTCATCCTGCCCCGGCCCAGCCCTGATGGCTGGTCCCAGCCCAGTGCTGCTCCTGAGATCCAGCTGCAGGTTTGCCTCTCCATGGGTTTCCTCCAGGAAACCAGAAGAGCTTGGTGTGATCCAACATTCCTGGCAGTGGGCAGGGATCATTGCCAGGAGGAAGAGCAGAGGAGAGGAGGTTCCTGCAGCCTCCTGCCGTCCCCAGCCCTGGAGAAGGCTTGGTGTGGGTCCTTCTCACCTGAGGACATCCCCAACTGCACTGGGGCGGTGCAGTCCCCACCTGCCAGGAGCTCAGGAGCTCAGGAACACAGGTGTGGTGTGAAAGGAGAGAAGGTTAGCACTCCCCTGGATAAGGATGCAAGAAGTCCTAGTGGCTTAGGAAATTCTGGATCTGGCACTGGAGGATATGAGTTAGGGTTTAGGGGTTAGAGCAGTGACAGGTTAAGGGTTGGACCTGATCATCTTAGAGGTCTCCTGCAGCCTTGACGGTTCTATGATTCTGTCCCAGGGTGCCCAGGGAGGCTGTGGCTGCCCCAACCCTGGCAGTGTTCACAGCCAGGTTGGCTGAGCCTTGAGCAACCTGCTCTGCTGGGAGGTGTCCCTGCCCAGGGCAGGGGTTGGGGCTGGGTGAGCTCTAAATTCCATTCCAAGCCCTTAACCTCCTCTGCAACTGCAAGGATGAGGATGGAGATGGAGATGCAGAGCAGCGGAGCTGCTTTAACTGTTGTTGCCACAATCAGAAATGATCATTTCTGGCCCAAAAAGGAAGTTGAGTATCCAATATAAAGGTGCAGCTCTTTCTGAGCTGATGGAATTCTGCTCTGCTGGTCTCCCGTGGTGGTGACACAGGGAACCATAAGGAACAACCTGTCTGGGGACACAGGGAGGAGAGGACAGAGTGGGGCCATCCCTCCTGGCAACAACAGGAGGGGAACAGTTCCTCCCTGAAAAGCCTTCAAAGCATTAATTGGGGAAATATGGAAAGAGAAATCCCAGGTCATAGGCTGCAGTTAACCAAAACCCTCTGGAATGTGTGAATGCCACAGCTGTAAGAGCTGGAAGTGGCCAGGAGACGTGTGGGAGTCATTTCCCTGATCCCCAGAGAATAGCAAACCCAGACAACAAATGCATCTGCTTGGTGATGACTAGTCAAAACTCTCAGCACTGGTGAGGCCAAACCAGCCAGTTCAGTAGCCTTTTTTGCCACAGATGCTGCTGCAGCAGCTGAGGGTTGTGCAACCAGATGTAATGCACTTGGGTTTCAGAGAGGCTCTTGGTGTGGTGCCAGGCAGGAACCCAAAGAAAACTGATTGCTTCCCATTCCAGTGAAAACAGCAGGGCTTAGGAAGGACTCTGCCAGCAGGGAATGGTTGGGAAGGGTAAGACCACCTGAAGAACAGTGTGAGTCCAGGGTTCAGAGAAGGTTATGACCTAGAATCATGGAATACCCTGAATTGGAAGGGACCCATGAGGATCATGTCTTGTTCCTGCCCAGGACACCCCAACACTGCACCCTGTGCCTGAGAGCATTGGCCAAACACTCCCTGAGCTCTGTCAGCCTTGGGGCTGTGACACTGCCCTGGGAGCTGTTCAGTGCCCAAACACCTCTGGGGGAAGAACCTTGTCCTGATATCCAACCTAACCCTCCCCTGGCACAGCTCCAACTGTTCCCTGGGTCCTGCCACTGGTCACAGGGAGTAGGGATGGTGCTGACCCTCTACTACCCTCATGAAGATGCTGCAGACCC